CTGTTTTGGGATATTTCATTGAACTAATGTTGATAAATGACAAAGCAAATTTAAAATCCATTCCATACATCGAGGTCTTGGTGAAAAATTTAACAGTAAGATTTTGACCTTGATTTCCTTTTTTATTAATAAATCTGTAGTGATGTTAATGATAATAGTCTCTATAGTTTAATTTGACAGTCCAAACTGATTCAATCTTTCACTTTAGCTTTCTCACCTCTCAAATCCTGGCCGTCCAAGGGCCTGCGCGAGGGCAGTCAGGTTTAGAATGACCGTCCTTCCCCGAGTGGGCCTAGTCAAATGACGCTGAGTTAATTTGCGCCTATTGTGGACCTTGTAAAGTTGTTTCGCTGACTCACTCCCTAGAAGCACATCTCTTTCTTTTTACATAGACGCTCCAGAATATAACGCAGCTGCCGATAATACAGTGCAAAAACACTGTAGTAAGCAGTTTATTTCACCATAAAATACATACAAAACTTCACAGTGCAATGAATGCACATCATGAAGTCCAATATTCAAAAGCAACAGCAAGATTTTTTTTTATTGGGCGGGGAGAAATGTTTCGGTCTCTCTTCCTGTCCCCCCAGCACCGCTCCCGCCAATATACCAATAAATCTGGCATTATCAGTCGGTGTAACTGATAAAGAAGAGAGGTGATCATATACTGAGGTTCCAAACATTGGAAGATGAGAACATGGTGGCTTTTTCCGTTTTACTTTTTTAGAAAGTTTTGCTACTGAAAGATGAAATTTCACATTGGACGCTAGACTTCACCAGACCGTCATGCGCATAGTTGCATATCTATTACAACGGTCTGCATCTGGGTTAGTTGGTGGTCTTGCTCGTGATCTTGTACGTTAAAATTTAGCTGCAATCATTTGACATGCATAACTGTATTTGCAAAAGACCAACATAGCAATGTTGTGTACTACTTCATGACATCTGGCTAACGCTGCCTGGCATTTTTCATGCTCAGAAGAGGAATTTGTTATTTGATGGGGAAGTTTTTCTGAAGGCTTGCACAGCACTTTATAAAAATAGCAATGTCCTCATCCACTGTTCTCACCAAGGAACTATACACAGACAAACTTCTGCAATAACAAAGAAGTCAGGGAAGTGATTTTCGTTCTTTCTCGTGAGAATTTTGTTGCTGTGCAAATAGAATCATAAGCTTTTTAATTACTTTGCACAAAAATGTTCTTTTAAATGTAGGTGATCTTGCTCTGTGTTTTGTTACGTTGAAGGAGCTTTGTGGCTTGAACCTCGCACCTTAATAAGTTTTGCATAGCTCCGCAGTCGTGGGCCCCAAGGAAAGTGCAAATGGTGATAGTGGTGTAACTGAACCCTTTGTACACGACCGTCTTGACATCAGCGCACAAAAATTAGACAGTTAAACTGCATCTGGAATTGCTCCATCGACACTGTGAGGAGTGCTTCAGCTAGTGGCTCCAGGTGCTTGCCGAAAGAACCACCACAAGGCTGCAGAAACGTGCAGACAAGCTACACAACCGGCATGTTTGAAGGAGTCTTTGATGACTGCGAGTGAAGTCCAGAATGCAGCAAGCATTTCCGGTGCCACAGAAAGGGCCTGTCTATCTACCTGCGTCTCTTCATGTCATGCTGCAATTGTCGAAATTCTCAAAAAACACTCTGAATGACTGCTTGAAACTTTCACTCTTGCGGGGATGCTTTTAGGTGCGTAGCACTTTAGGGGGCTGTCATCATCCCTTGGTGCAATGCTCCATGTCCATCACCTATGTATCATCATCAGCTATGCAATAAAACAGAAAGGAAAGCAAGGAGGAGAAAAAATTGCTTGAGAGACAAATAAATAAAAACAATAAGAGAGAACAAAAAAGTTGCACCACCTTATTTTTTAAAACAACGTCTCTTTGCTTCTGGGAGGCGGCGAATACACTGTGAACGTTCACTGTAAATGCCAGATTTGAGTGCTATTGTTAGTCACGGCTTTAACTGTTGATTGATTAATTGATATGTAGGGTTTAACGTTCCAAAATCACCACATGAATATGAGAGACCCCGTAGTGAAGGACTCCGGAAATTTCGACCACCTAGGCTTCTTTAACGTGCGCCCAAACCTGAGCACACAGGCCTACAGTGTTTTTGCCTCCATTGAAAATTCAGCCGCCGCAGCTGGGATTCGATCCCGCGACCTGCTGATCAGCAGCCGAGTACCTTAGCTACTAGACCACTGCGGCAGGGCCAGCTTCAACTGTACAATATTGGCAAACTGCACTGGGCATGCAAGACCGGTTCATACAAGATGGAATTTTGGCATGAAAGATGGGTTATGTACCTTCAACACTTCACTAGGTCAATGGTGTTCACAGCAGTGGCCACACGGCTAGGTGCGCTGCATAAGGATGCAACGAGGCGAAGACTTTGGTTCTCTTTGAACCTAGTTACCTGCCAGAAATACGGGGATTGCTGTCACTTGTGAGGCTACCATGTTCGTGAAACTGATGCCTCAGTTTTCATTCCATTTGAATGTGTTCATAGTAGGCTTGTGCAAATATTCAAATAATTAGAATATTTGAACAAATATTCAAATTTAAATTATTGAAGATTTCAAGCTATCCGAAATGAATGAATATTAGTCCTTATGGAGCCCCCTGTAAATGTGGTTTCACAGCAGTGAAAGTGTGCTAGAACGTGAACGCACTAATCTGAATGAATTCACATGTATGTAGAGATGGTTTCGCTGCAGTGAAGAGGGGCTGAGCTCTGAAAATGAATTTAGATGCATATTAATTTCCACGTAACCTCTTGTAGAGAAGGTATCACTGCAGTAGAGGGGTGCTAAGCCATGAAAGCACCTACAAAGAAGAAATTCAACTGCCGCAAAGCCCCAATTCGAAGCTAAATGAATAGATTACCTTCGCATCAATTCATCTCTTTTTAAGTTTAAAAGCTTGTTATACTGGGTCATATGGTTTGAGAATAGTCAATTTCAAAACACAGGAGGCGGGCTACGGGCTGTGTCATAAAAGCTTCACTCTTTCTTATCTGCTGTCATTCGCTCAGCCACCTCAAACATATTTTACCGGTTATCGCTTCCATTTCGCCAAAATTCAAATCTTGCTACTACTAAAAGTGCTCTGAACTCCCCACAAAAAAAAAGGCATTTGCACAAACCTTGTTTATATTTAAAAATATATTGTGCAGCTAAGCATATCAAAACTTACAATTGAAGGAAGAAAGTTAAATGGGGTGGGATTGGCTGACGCATTCAACAATTTCTTTACAAATATGAGTACCTTAGGCAGTCCCACAGATGCATGTCAATATATGAACATGACGAACGATAAAACTTTATTTATGCCTCCAGTCACAGCTCAGGAAGTGATCTAAATACTTACAAACTTACAGAATAGCAGCAGTCTAGATATAGATGAAATCCAGATAAAACCTGTGAAATTTGTTGTAGATATAATAGTGCCAGTTCTTGCACACATATTCACTACCTGCATAACTACATCAGCTTTCCTAGTAAAAATGCAAATAGCCAAGGTAACAGTGCTCTACAAAAAGGGGAATCGGAATGAATTAGTACATTACTGCCCTCTGTCTATATTACCTATTTTTTTTTTCAAAACCTCTTGAGAAACTAATTCATTGTAGGCTCTCAAATTTCTTCGAGAACTTCAATATATTAACATTTCAACTTTTTGAGTTCCGGAAGAATAGATCAACAAAATTAGCCTTGCTTCACAAGAAAGAATATATATTTTACAGGCATTTTAAAGCAAGAAAATAGTAACTGGTTTATTTGTTGATTTTTCCAAGGCATTTGACTTGGTGAATCATGAGGTCTTGTTAAGCAAGTTAGATATTTATGGCGTTCGTGGTTGTGGGTTAAATTTACTGGGGTCATACCTGTGTGATCGGCGACAAGTTTTCCAAATAAATAACTCGCGATACCAAGTTCTGCCACTGCTCTGTGGTGTTCCACAGGGCAGCATTCTGGGACCTTTGTTCTTCAACCTTTTACATTAATGACATGGTTAACACTAATAATAATGCCATGTTTATCATACATACAGATGATAGAACCATATTTTTTTCTGGAAACAGCATCACGTACCTCATATCGAATTGTAATGACACCTCAATCAAACTACAGCAGTGGTCTTTATTCAATTACATGAAGATTGTTGAAAATAAAACAAAAGTTCGAGCCAAGAACAAGCCAATCCTTCCTCATGCGGATATAATTTTCAATTCCTTCCCAGATGATATTGTCGACCACTGCAAGTGCCTTGGTGTTGTATTTAGTGCACACATGCCTTAAGAAGCGCACGTGAACTCAGTGCTGACAAAATTAGCTTGAATAACTGGAATAGTTGGTCGGCTCAAATACATTCTCTCGCAAAACTTAAAATCCTAGTTTTTTTTTTTTTTTTTTGCTGTTGCCCACATGCCATAGAGTATTTTTGGCTACAGACTAGTCAAGTTGCCTTTTAGCAGCTTTTTTTCCGTTGTCCTCCATCTGTGAGATTGTACAACGTGGAAATAAATTTCAGTTAGGTTATGAGAAACTGGCCATTTTTCTGTACAGTATGTAATATGATATACTATTTGAATTCAATTTGAAATTACCTGACCATAGTCACTATTTGTTTTGAATGCACATTTAGCTTAAAATTCACTATTTGCACAAGCCTAATTTAGAGTGATAAAAAATCTTTCTATTTTGGGTTTTGCTGGAGTGGACGCTTTAGCGCATGGTCTTGTCAAGGCTCATCTTAGCACATGCATACTTTGTGCCCCTAAACAAAACAGGAGAGAGAAACGATGCCAAAACTGAATGAGCAAAAGGAAAAAGCAAGCACATCAGCAAAACAAAGAAGCAAGCGGGTCTGCATCAAAAGGGGGCACAGGTATTTTCGTGGAATCTGCATTCTAAAAACAAGCACCACACAAAAATGAAAACTTCACTGTGATCAATACAGTTACCACAAGAAAGGCCTCACTGGTTTTCGTTATGTATTTAGAACATCGAATACAGAACAGCCTGTTAATACTACGAGATTAAACGGGCGTCGTGTGGACATTATGAAGAAATGACAAAAACAGTGGCACAGCATTTTATAGTGTGGCAGGTGACAACTTTATCAAAGCTACGCTCAGTCAAACCTACGATTACTGACAAGGGTGAAAATATTGAGTTCTACTTTATTCCCAAAATTAATACCATCCAGCCAACAGGTTTGAAAAGAGGCTTTTGAATCCATCCCGTCTGTTAACTACAAAAAAACCAGTGAGACTCGAGCTTTTCTTCTAACAAGTTGTGATCTTTGTGAAATTATCATTTCTAGATGGCGCTTACTTTTGACAACTATAGTTAAGCAAAATGTGTAAACTTTCAATGTGACCATTCTCTCACTTTGGTTTGTTTTTGATGTGCTTCCCGTTTTGTTTTATTTATTTATCTCAATTAACTGCAGTACAATTTGATCCTAGCAGGAGGGGCAATACCAATTAACAATAAAATACAAAGATATAAATACATGCAATGGTGGAATCAAAGTCTAATACCTTATAATAAAAGTTGAATAAGAACAAAAGACATAGTGCATAATAATTTATAAAGCTCCTAATAGCGATATGAAACAGCATCAGCAGAAAGAAAGAAAACTTCAAATCAAAAAAAAATATCTTCTCCCAGAGACTGAATGAAATTTGGTTGCATAATTACTGAATCTCGAATTCTACACTCAAACCTCAATATAACAAACCAAGGTATAATAAATTATCTGCTATAACAAAGTGAATAAAGTCTTGTTATCGATACAGTGGTACAAATCTATGCAACAAAATTTTGCATGAACGGACGTGACCGTCATAATGAGATTTGAGTGCAGTGTAGTCTGTTAGAGTTGCGATTTTCCCTCTAATAGTTTACGCCCTCCTCTCTCTTCCTTTTTGTTTTTTTGGGGGACAAAACACACACACGTGTGGTTTGAAGAAGACAAGTACCATTTTGGCTCCAGTGACTTCCACTGCTTGCATTCGTTTATTCACGTTTATGCCATACCCAACAAGATGGCTATAAAAGCATCTACAATTGTTTTTATTCTCAAAACACAAAAACATCATCTCCGCAAGTTCGCACAGACTGCATGCGTGCTCAAATGTGCAGCACACAACCTGACTCCAAACTTATTGAAACGATTCTGCATTGTCACTTGGTTAAACAGACAGTGCACACTTGTGGGAAAAAGGTCTCTCAAACCCAGGAAGCTTCAAGCAAACCCTCCAAGGTAGTGAGCAGCTATGTCAAGGCACTTGTACATATAGGTTCTGCAGAAGCAAGCACCCCATAAAAAAACTCGTGCACAAGAAACCTCACAGAACATGGCAGGTACATTCTTTCTTGAGTGCGTTGTGGAAATCCTTTTGAACAGATGGAACACGCGCCACCTATAGAAAATCTGCCACTCTATTTTGCCTCGGCCGTCACTTGGTTTACCGGTACCCTCTTAAAAAGAGCCCTCTTAAATGCCATGTCACAACACAGTAACGGTTCTCTGAGGTACACTACTCTCACTGGTTTAGTTATATAAAATCTCACTGGATGATTGTTTTTCCCCCGTGCTCCTGTTCTTCGAAGAACACCTTAGTTATGACAATGTCCCCCGTAGAAAGCGTTTGGCAGGCTGCTTCCGCCCCCTCCTTTGATGTTCGGCATTCCCCACAGCAGCAGCTGTTCCTCGAGGCGTGCCCATTGGCCGTCAGAGGGCTGGATGCCTTCGGCCCCGAACAGTCCGTCGAGTGGCTGGGCGACACCGCGGCACCTAGCGAATCGCAGCTCCAGTCACCCGACCTCGGAAGATCGGAATCGGTGGACTCGGACTCCGACTCAGTTGCGTCCTCGTCCTCTTCGTCATCCTCGTCGCCAATACCGGGCAGGCCGTCTGTTGCACCACTCCCTGCTGCTCCCGCACCGCGATTCCGTAGGCGGTCTAGTTTGCGAGCCACCTTGGGATTTCCATCGATGCGAGCACACTCTTCTTCTGTCAGGTTCACATACCTGCATAAAGGAGAGCGATCAATTTCGGGCTCCATGAGACTGACAAACCTGATTTCATCGTTTAGCACTTTTGCACGTAACAAAGAAGGTCGAAAAAAAAAAAGCATTTGACCCTGCATTGTGAGGAACGCAGTAGCACACCTCAGCCAAGCAGCACTAGCATTTTGTTCAAACACCAAAATTAAACTACGAAAAAATTGTTAAAGTCCTTTAGATTGAAAAGATAAAACAAATGTAAATCAGCCATCTGTTCCATTGCTTTGCTAAATAGATTTCACTCCTGTCGCCACACCTTTAATGATGTTTTCCTCCTAGTAGTTTGCTACATGTGTCGATACATGACATTGTGATCGCAAGAGATCTGTGCAGGTGATGTGTTTCTTTATTATATATTGCACAGATCATGTTAGGTACTTGAGCTACTGTTCTTTCAAAAATAAACCACCTGTTATATTGCACTTCTCCATGTGTGGTCTTTCTTTCTCGTTTTTTACGGGCAAAGGTGCTCAAAGATGAATTCATTCCAACTGGGCCGGCCAGCAGCAAACTCCTAGCATTGTTCCACAAGAGGCACCAGAACCTGCAAAAATGTCCCCAATGTCGCTCTTCATTATGGTTCCGAAGTGCATTGAGCTCCATCTTAGAGGATGCGACGCTCATCATCTCTGTCGATTTTCAGCTCAGACCATGCAAATTTCAATGTGGCTACTCTAAAGCTTGTACGACTAAGTCAGCAAGGTCCTAGAGACATCAATGTCACCCAAGTACGCCCAATTTTCAGTAATTTTGAGCAACTCTTTGCATCATGACGTAGCGACATCACGGCTGCAGCGCTGCTAAATGCGGAAACGCCCGTCGGTCAGCTCCTCAACATAGTGGTGTCTGAACAACGTGGCTACGACCCTACGACTTTGTCGTGGTTATCTATTCTGACAAATCAACCAGATGACAGCCCATCCACCATTTCGGCGGAGCAAGCCGACATTTTTCAACTTGTCGAGGGTCGGCGTTGCCGCCGAAGGAACGCGGGAGGAGCGCCTGCACTGAAAACTCCAATCAACAATCCAGCCACTGGAGATGCTCACGCTCCATCTCCTAAAGCTCCGCAAAGGACTTCACCAGTCAGGATGGTCAAAATCACGTAGTCGCCAGGTTTCCTACGTGATTTAGCACATGACTGATTTAGCGCATGAAATCATGTGACTACATGATTTTGAGCATCCTGACTGTTGGTTTTGGCGTTTACTTGGGGACTGGTTCCTGGCGACTACGTGATTGTGCTCAAGCCGTGCACCACGGTAGCCCTCAAGACAGTGTTTCAACAACGTGAGCTCAGCGCTGCCATTTCCCAACTCATCGGAAGGCAGCACATGAATGACATTACCATTTCTTCTAATTCGGAGTAAAACATCATCGCCTGTGGCATGCAGAATAACGAGGTGGTTCAGGAACTGCTGTCACAGTTTCAAATCAACACCAGCAAAGAACCGCTGCCGCTTCGCAGTCACCTCAAGCTCACCGGTAACGTGTGTCGCGGCGTGCTTTCTGTGTATAATCTCAACACTAGTGTGTCCCTGAAACATAGTGTGCAGTGGCGTGGTGGTGAACTAGTCTATGTGCTAAAGCTAGGGAACTCAAAGGAAGCTGTGTTGACTTTCACGGGAAGGAACGTTCCGCATTTCGTCCACTACAACGCAGAACTGACTCCCGTCAGGCAGTACAAGAACACAGTGCCCGCGTGCTACCGCTGTGGCGCACTGGGGAACCGGGCAGATATCTGTCCCAATCCGGTCAACGAAAAATGTGGCCTTTGGGGCGAAAACGAGGGCGCTGGTACTGAGGAGATGGCCGCCCAGGTACGCAACCTAATGGGCACAGCCTGTGGGGGTCTGCACCTTACCAGCTCCCGCGAGTGCACCGGAAAATTTATCAGGCTTCAGCAGTTGGGATCCAAGCCATCAGGGATCCCACAAAAACTGAGGCACCGGTCGACTGGCAAGGTGCCAAACCCTGGCAAGGCAGCAACAGCAACGCTACCACCTGACGCGACAGAATCCCCAGCTCTCGGCGCTCCATCTGGCACCGCTGCACGCAACCAACCCAAGGTAGGCAGTTTGGAACGGATCACCTCTCACTCCCCTCCACCCCCTTCTCCCACAAGCACTGCCAAAACACAGAAACTCAGGCACTAGCTCGCCCTTTTTCGATCTCAAAACGAAAAACTAGCCAGCGAACTTAACTCACACGCACACAACACAAGCGCTTGTGTTGTGTGTTCTGTCGAATAGTGGCTGCGCTTTCTACCAAGACGAACTGAACTCACTAAACCGCCCGCCTTGAGTGACTAAGAGGGAAACCTAACAGGCAGGGAGATTCTTACTACTGTAGAGAGTTGTGTTAAGGACCTGGGGATCCAGGTGACTGCAATAGAAACACGATTGGCTGACATCCCCAAAATTATCCACGACACCATCATGCGTCAGATGGAGACTGTCATCGCACAGGCGACACAAACCATAACTCACACTATCCAAAAGTGAATACACGACAATACACGAATTCTTAAGCATGTAGGACCCATTAGGGATGTTGACCACCTTTCAAAGTTCAACTGATTCACTCTCGATGAGTCTGACTTTTCTGAAGACTCCAGCACATCAGCAAAAGGCGCTAGTGGACTGAGTAGTCTTCACAACACAACCCCACCCTCCATCTCTGACCATAGCCCCCAACCCTAGGATGCGAGCCAGAGGAACTCAGCCGCTTCTACTAACACAGTGGAACTGCAGACGTCTCAAAAACCACATGAAGCGGGCTTATTTTCAACTTTATCTTGAGACTATTGAGTTCCTCGTTGCCATGGTTGCCATTCAGGAACCCGGCGCTGACGTCAAACTCACAAACTACACTACATTTCAACAAAACCCGGAGACGTATACTTGTTCACCACCCAGGAAGTCGCACTCCCCACAAACCGCCTTTCCCATACACGATGGTGTCGGTGCTGTGCATAAGGGGATCTGACCCAACTTTACATATTTTAAACATTTCATCATCATCACCATCATCACCAGCCTGACTACGTCCACTGCAGGACAAAGGCCTCTCACATGTTCCGCCAGTTAACTCGGTTCTGTGCTTGCTGCTGCCAATTTATACCCGCAAACTTCTTAATCTCATCTGCCCACCTAACCTTCTGTCTCCCCCTATCCCGCTTGCCTTCTCTGGGAATCCAGTCAGTTACCCTTAATGACCAGTGGTTATTCCTGTCTACGCGCTACATGCCCAGCTCATGTCCATTTCCTCTTCTTGATTTCAGCTATAATATCCTTAACCCCCGTTTGTTCTCTAATCCACTCTGCTCTCTTCTTGTCTCTTAAGGTTACACCTACCATTTTTATTTCCATTGCTCGCTGCGTCGTTCTCAACTTAAGCTGAACCCTCTTTGTAAGTCTCCAGGTTTCTGCTCCGTAGCTAAGTACTGGCAAGATACAACTGTTATATACGTTGCTCTTGAGGGATAGTGGCAATCTACCTGTTATAATTTGAGAGTGCTTGCCAAATGTGCTCCACCCCATTCTTATTCTTCTAGTTAATTCAATCTCGTGGTTTCGCTCCGCGTTTATTACCTGCCCTAAGTAGACATAGTCTTTTACAACTTGAAGTGCACTATTACCTATCTCGAAGCGGTGCTCTTTTCCGAGGTTGTTGTAGATTACTTTCGTTTTCTGCAGATTAATTTTAAGACCCACCTTCCTGCTCTCCTTGTCTAACTCAGTAATCATGAGTAGCAATTCATCTCCTAAGTTACTCAGCAATGCAATGTCATTGGCAAAGCGTAGATTACTAAGGTACTCTCCATTAACTCTTATCCCTAACTGTTCCCATTCTAAGCTTCTGAAAACCTCCTGTAAGCACGCGGTAAATAACATTGGGCAGATTGTGTCCCCCTGCCTTACACCCTTCTTGATTGGTATTCTGTTGCTTTCTTTATGAAGCACTATGGTAGCAATTGATCCGCTGTAGGTTTCTTCCAGGATGTTTATATATGCTTCATCGACGCCCTGATTCCGCAGTGTCTACATGACCGCTGATATTTCTACTGAATCAAACGCCTTCTCGTAATCTATGAAGGCTATGTATAGTGGTTGGTTATATTCTGAGCATTTCTCTACTACCTGATTAATAGTATGAATGTGGTCGATTGTTGAGTAGCCTGTTCGAAATCCTGCTTGTTCCTTTGATTGATTGAATTCTAATGTTTTCTTTACTCTGTTAGCAATTACCTTTGTAAATAGCTTGTATACTACAGAGAGCAAGTTGATTGGCCTGTAATTCTTCAAGTCCTTGTCATCTCTTTTTTTATGTATTAAGATGATGTTAGCGCTTTTCCAAGACTCTGGTACTCTTCCCGTCAGGAGACATCTCGTAAACAGGGTGGCTAGTTTTTCTAACACAGTGTGTCCTCCATCTTTCAGGAGATCTGATGTTACCTGATTCTCACCAGCAGCTTTGCCTCTTTGCGTGCTCTCCAAAGCTTTTCTGACTTCGTCTATCATTACTGGTGGGGTGTCATCTGGGTTACTGCTAGTTCTCATAGTATTATTGTCATGGTTATCCCAGCTACTGTACAGATATCTGTAAAACTCCTCCGCTATTTTAACTATTCTATCCATATTGGTAGTTATTTTGCCTTTTTTGTCCCTTAGTGCATACATCCGATTTTTGCCTATCCCAAGTTTCCCTTTCACTGCTTTGACGCTTCCTCCGTTTTTCAGAGCGTGTTCAATTCTCTACAAGTTATACCTTCTCACATCGCATACCTTACGCCTATTAATTAACTTTGAAAGCTCTGCCAGTTCTATTTAAACATTTACTGTACTCCAAAGCTTAAGAACCTCAAGTTCAGCGAAACGTCTGCACAAGCTATGCAGTTGGCAGGAAGGGACCTTCTGATTGTCGGCGGCTTCAATGCACCGAGTAGGCTATGGGATTACCCG